AGTCGTGATCCCCGAATGAAGCGGTTTGTGGATCTGAACAAGGGAAGCCACCTGGAATAGATACGTGTCGAGAGCGCTGTGGGTGAAGCATGCTTGTTCCTAGTCGGAGAGTATTGATGCGAACGGGCTCAACGGGCGAACAGTGAAAATGTCGCCGGGATGGGGCCGCAAGGAATACAGCGTCCTCACTGAAACCCCGTTCTGGAGCTTGCGCAACGGTCAGATATCTCCGGAGACTGATGACAAAATGGTCCCTCCAGAAGCTCGATAGGACCAAAGCCGATCTAGAACCCGATTCGGTACCTACAAACTATCATCTCCCCTACGGACACTGTCACCTCCCTTTAGCGTCTCTTCCACCTTCGGCTGGACCCCGAGCTGGATTCCTTTGGTCATAGCCCAGCGGATTTCGGTTGCGGACTTCAACGCTCCTCACATTTAGTGTGCCAGAGGCCAGACTTGTGAAGCGTCTCGCGGATAATCTTATTTAGGAGTCGACTTAGAGTCTTGTGCTTCCGTGAAATGTCATCGATTCTCGTAAGCTTATCGACTTTTGAATTGAGTACCGGGAGACTCAGCGGCCGGAACAAGCAAAGTCTGTGAAAGGAAAAAACGGTGGCGCCTGGCGTGACGGCACGATTTGTTCGATGTTCCCCGCGACTTGGAGACCGCCATCGTTGAGCGACGCTGCACGTGCTCAGAATTCGCGAGGGAAGGTTGTCTGTACGAACAGAGAAACTTCCCAAAAGTTCGATGAAGACTTCTAAGATCCTACGGTAGCTGCACCGCGAGTCCCAAACGAGACGGAGTCTCGCATTGCGAATATGACGGGAACACCACCAAGCGCGATCGAGCTCCTCGATTGCAAAAACTACAACCCCCGTGCTCTAGGATTCCGCATCGCTCGATTTGCCCCTTCCGCCTTCCCGAATAGATCGAGCTATAGAAATCATGAAGTTAGCGATCGTTTCGTTCTGGCTGGTAGAACTCTGACCATAAATCTCCTAATAGAAGTCCTCAACAGCCGCCTTTCCGCGGCGGTCGCCAGCCAAGGCTCTCGAGTAAATAAAGGTCCCTCTCAAGATCAACTCTCTCGAAATGGAACCAAGCTATCATCTGCTGATAGACTTTAGAGAAAGTTTTGCCAAGTTACTGGATTTAAGTAAGCCCCGTTTCCGACCGAAAACCGTCGGAGGAATGAATCTGAGTCCGGGCGTCTATTGATTTGCGGCAGGAGATTTTCGCATATAGCATGATCTCCGCTGCTCTGCTCATTGCAGATATGATCGAGGCTGCTGTCTTGCGGCCACGCCCGCTCCGTTTACCTAGGGGATCCTTAGAATCGAGAGTACCCAATAACACCACGAGGCGCATTTCTCCGAATGATTCATTTCCAGTTCGGTCCATGGAGCGCAAAGTTTTCCCAGATTGTCGAAACTCCTTCCGACTGCGAGCCGGTGAGATGAGACGAATTCCGGGTGAAAGTCAAAGCTACTACGGCTGTCAATTAGACGTAGACCAAACGAGACTTCCCCTGTAGGAAATTGGCCCTCGCAGGAAATTCCTAGTCAATCCGAGCGCACGTCGATGTTATTGGGCGGGATATCAGAGGCCTTCTCGCCTTTGAACAGCGAGGCCTCGCCGCCTCGCCGCTCGACACCATCCGTATCGGTATAGGCATGCGATTTCCCGTTTAGAAGCTGATCGTAGATTTTATACATTCGCTCCTCTAATGTGATTGCCTTCCGTGACGGTATACCCCGGAGAGGAAGAAACATAGGTCGTCATGAAATATGACGAATCGCCCCACCAGTCGACGCCAGGAGAGCTTCAGATAGGCTTCCGATGATGATCTCCGCTCTCCTTGACTCTCCTCTCTCTCTCGAATCGATACCGCTGGAGAGGAGAACGTAGATGATAGTGAGACCGTTTGCGAGCGCGTCTTTCAGGAAAGCGCCGTCCATCACTGGCTCTTCGGTGTTCTCCTCGAATGTCGTATCTAACACAGAGGAATCGCTCGTCATTTCGAATCTGCGGATACGAACCCGCCTTAGAGTAGGCCTCGACAAAATAGGCGGTCGACGGCGGAGCGCAGTCGAGAGCCGCGATTTCCGGCGAAGCCCTGTCACGAGATGCAGGCCGATTCCCTGAATCCCCGACGAGCGTTTATCACACTGTTCAGTATTGATGTACATACAGTATTTCTCCTAATAGGAGTTCACCGATCAACTTCAGGATTGAGCCTTGAAAATATTTCCCCCATGGGCGCACGATTCCATTGGAATTCCATCCCGAAGGCGCAAGAGAGAGCTTTAGGATCGATTCGAAATGACCCAGCTAGCTCATGAGGGGAAATATTTTAGAGGATCCCGAAGGCTACACTTGGATTGCCCTTCCAATAGAGCGAATACCGTACGAATGATATGATATCGCGACGACAGAATCTTTGAGAACTCTTGCCCTTTTTCGAACGGACGGCTGGTCGCTCGACGATCTCGGAAGGCGCCACGGCTTCCGTCGCCTGACTAGTCGCCGGGCCTCGGCCTATGTGGGCTGGGATTCAGGACCATTCGTTTCTGGAGTCCCTAATTGACTATGTATTCAATTCAGCTTCTCGGCGGGTCGATTGCGCTCAGCGCAGCCGTCGCTGTTCTTCTGTTCCTCCTCTCGCTTATAGTGCGTTGCTATAAATGCGTGACAGCTTCTCGAAACCTTTCTTCTTTCTGCGAACTCTGTTTTGACCTCGTTTCTGTTGACGTGGCTCGATTTACTACCGAAGGAAACTGGCTGAGGGAACGTAATTGAGTCAAACTCTCCCCTTCTCCGATTCGCTCCTCGTCGTTAGGATGCTCGGAGTTCGCTCACCAACTCGTACTTATTGCTATTCCTCAGCTGGCCGTACGCGATTTTCTCGCTCAATACGCCGTCGCGCTCAGGAGAAAAGAACAGCTTCGTTCTATCAGTTCCGACTATCACCGACGCGGACTTCTCAGAATGGACTCTTTGTTCAACATCCGAGGGATCGACATCATCGACTCGGCAAACTTCAATAATTCGGGCCGGAAAATCGCAGTCTGTTCGAACCGGAATCCCGAGCCGAAGGAGAGGCTGTTCTCCGCACGGACGATTCGGGTTTCACCCCAACTCCCCTCCCCTCATGTCGCATTCGGCTGGGATCACTTATCAGAAAGCTGTACATATCAGCCCGACACGATAGAACTCTGCACGATAGGTATGACCGACTACATACAGGGACTGTATACGATTTGCGCATCACCTTTTGCTAGCTGTTGGGACAGAGACGGGTTCCATTGCATTCGGCATCCGGAACACGAAGAGTTCAGCGTCGTGCACGCGAAAATTCAGCATCGTGAGTCAAGGGCGCAATGACCTCCACGCGCCAAATCCTCAGAGTAATTTTTTGTCGCAGTGCTCAAGTCTGAGCTCTCCGGCGGTGCGCCTTCGAGATCCCCCTTTAGTTCCCCTCTCGGACTCGAGTTCTTCCCGACACCTAGCCGCCGGGGGAAAATCGCATGATCGCGCCCGCCCCGAGCACGCTCCATCAAGGGTGCGACGTCCCTCTCGGATTTTACGACTTCATCACCAGCAGGATATTCTATTCGCTCGTCAAATGATGAGCCGCCCCGTCACCTAACCACTGGACGACATCCTGACCTGTCTCGTTCAATCATTATCAACGTCTCACGCGATGCGGGATACCTACCGGACGGAAACTTCGAGCTTGGACGAGCACCAATCAGAGGTCCTCGTACCGGGATTGCGGAATTTCCCCAGGAAGATCTTCCTCATAGGTGAGCAGTCCATTAGTATTCAGAGCGAGTGTGGGAATGGGACTGCGTATAAATATAGACAGGGGGCTTACTGAATTTTTCTGATCGATAAACAAGGAAGACCTTCTGATGATAAACTCTCGAGCAACGCGTCGATTAACACAAGTCCCGATGGAAGTTTGATGTTTGGGCTTGTCCTTTCCATTTGACGTGGCTGCATCTCGTCGAATGCGTCGTTGCGTGCAGTTTTTGGCGAAAAGGGTGACGTCGACGTTCTTTCGTTCAGTGATCTCTTGAAAAGCGACCGTCAACAAAAACGCGCGCCTGCTTCGAGAGTTTCTCTTTCACTTCGTCCAACAGTCTGTCCGCGCGTCTCTGTCTTTGGTGGCTTTCATCGGAACGTCGTCGGCGATAGTCGAAATTTTCCCAGCGCTCTTGGCAGCGTAGCGGCCATCGATAATTTATCCAGTACGAGCACTTCACTCCGCACCACCGATTTCCATGTCCGCGCGTCGTTCATTGGCCGAGCAGGTCATCGCGGAGTACGGACTTTACTCGAACAACAACAATGAGCTTTCCGGCACCACAATCCGGGGTGCATCTCAGGTCGTAGTCGGCGTCGCATGCGAATAAAGGCCGCGCACGGGACGACGAGAGAACATCGGTCGAAGCCAAGCGCAGGTGCCAATCAACCCCTGACACAAAAGGAATATAATAACGTCGACGACAGTACAATTCTGAACTTCATTTCGGTTTGGCGGGTCGCTCTGGCAAAATGCCCAACCAAAAATATTGGTGGTGCAGATTGGAAAGTCGAATTTTCTCTTTCTTCCCTCTCGATGCTGCCGGCGGTCTTCTGTCGGGAGAAGCGCGAGAAAACAAAATGTGAGGCCGCCCCGCGATCAAGCGATTGAACCGATGGGTCTCAAAAGATATTTTCTGGATGTCTTTTCGATTGCTTGCGGTCGACGGCGCCCGTATGTATGTCCGGCAAACGGCCTTGACTGACGTAGGCGCGGCATTCCGTCCGTCACTTAGTCAGGCAACGAGCAGGCCGGAGAGTCCGGCCGGCGAGAGAGGTGGAAGGTGTACCCCTCCCGTGCGAGGGACCCTGGATGAGGACATCCGAAACCAAACAGGAGAACAACGTTATATAGGAAACGAAGGCCGTTCGTCGAATCAGATTTGTCCCTTAAGTTCTCAGGCAAGATGATGAGCTTCTTCCCGTGTGTCGTGATCGCCGCTGTCGTGGTGAGTTTGTTCGATCAGACCTCGTCGTACTCAGTCAGCTGCTGACGGTCGACAGTCCTCTCAGTGAAAAATGCTCGCCGCACAAAATCCGCAGCCAGGGCTCTTCGTCTTTCCTCGTTGTATCTTTTCGCCATCCCTTCACTTACCTCTCTCGATCGACGGGGTCTCTACGTACACCGAGCTGTTTTCTCGGCCCCATGCCGTCGCCATCGTCGCTGGGAGTCTCCTGCATCGACTTCCCATAAATCTCGAGCGCTTGACAAGGCCCCACCAAGCCATCCGATATAGGAAACCGGATTCATATTCTCACGTCGCTCGAAGAGAGGCAAATAGATATGAAAGACAGGCGAGAGGGAAACATTCCCGGGGCCGCGCGAGCTCTTATTCCGTAGATTCCAGAGTCTGCGCTCTCCCGCTTGATTCTGAAAAAAGGCACAGGAAAGTAGTCTTTGGTACGCGGGAAAAAAAGAAGAATTAGGGGCGCGTACAGACCGCAGAACAAGTGCTTCGTTCCGCTGACTTCTCGAGTCACAGGCCGTCTTCGGATACGATGACTTTGGTTTTTCGTCATCTCTCCGTCTTCCTCCCCGGTCGTTGCTCGAGAGCCCTGATCGGTATCCTTAGCGCCGATGCATTCGAATATAGCTTCGGAATACGAGGAGTCCAAATATCCGAAAGTTTCGAGTCGAGATTGAATTTCGAGGGCCGTGCCCTCTTGACCGTCCCGCGTCTCGGATCCGGATTTTAGGCTCTTTTGCAGGCGGTGGCTCTCAGCTCTGTGGACCATACTCACAACCCTTACCGTGAAGGCGGATATTACCACTTCGATCACCAAGGCATTCCCCATTGGCACTCCGGCAAATACCATTACCATGGCTACGACGAGTACATTTACCGTTCTCCGAAATACGTTCGTTACGTCAGCGATCCCGTAGTACATCAACGACTTCACACCCACGTAGAGAGAGTTCCAACTTACAGCCGAACATACGAGGTGAGCTCCGTTCATTCAATTCGCTTTCATTCATACGATATCGTTCTCAATCTGTGATCTTCCCTGGAGCAGGTCCCCACCAATTACCGGCAGGTTGACCACCAACATCATCACGCCGATGAACGGACCATCGTAGAGAAGAAGATCTACAAGGTAGGTTTTCGCGCGTGCGATGGAATTTTCTCATTGTGAGCTTTTCTACATTTGCGCCGATTCATTCATCCGGACCTCTCACCTCCTTTCCACAGCAAGAGGTCACTCCGGCTCACTACCACGTTGGTGCCACTCACGTAGATTCTGATCATCATCATCACCTTCATTGAGATACGATTCTCCGAGCGGTCTATTCAAAAAAGAAAATCCCTTAAACAAGCGTCGAGGCCGCCTTTCGGGAGTCGGAGGTACCGATTTTCTGATGGGATGCCTCGATACGCAGTGAACCCGACAGCCATCGACATCGATTTGGAGACTTGCCCAGATTCGTTTCATTTTTAGACTTGTTGAACAACTTGGCCAGCCGAATAAATTGTGTCCCCTGTTTTTTTTGTTCCCTTCAACGGAACCCGCTCGGCCCCTTGGTCCGAATCTCTGAAACGAGCCTCATGGCTCGAAAACTACAGTCCGGGACAAGTGTCAGGGTCTTCCGAATCCCGGAGTCCAGTCCTCGGGGACCTCCTCAAGTTCCTCCCGAGCAACTTCGCCCTCAAATCATCGAAAACTATTTATTTCTCTAGAGGGGATCAAAATCTTCGAGGGAGTGCCAGAAGGAGCTCCGCGCTCTCTGCGGAGCGATGGTATTGCATGAAACACTTGCGGCCTTTGGCGTCTTGCCCGCAGGAGGCGGAAATCCGACTGCGGATACCCAGGCTCGGGACCCAGATCGATTACGGTCCTCGTGGCGGAGAGCGGCACGCTTCTCCAAAATCCTGACCAAATCGAGATTGCTTCCGGGGTCGATTGCGGTCAGATGTAACCTCGGACATATTTTTCTTTCATGAGACCGCACCGGATATCGGCGGGGCGTGCCCGGTAAAAGCGATTTGGGAGAGACGATCATAGCTGGTGTGGTGTGTGAGATCTCTGAGGCTCGACTCGAATTCGCCCCCTTTCGGAATCTAGAAGGGATTTCCCGCTCTAGTCTATAAGAATCCTATTGACGAAGGTCCTCGAGACGTGGAAAATCCAGCAGAGATTGAGCGGAGCGTTCCGGGCAAAGTGGGGTCAGTTGTGAAAGTATCCTCCTGCATCCGTCCCCAGAATGACCAGGACACTTATCTGACTACTCCGTGAATCCAGAAAATTCCTAGATGCGGAAAATTGCGTCGATACGTAAATATCCCTTAAGAAATGAGCATCGAATCAGATCCTCCCATCCTGTTATCTGGAGCTTCGACGAGTTTCACCGACGAGCTGTTATTCATGCTATGAATCCGATGAATCCGATGAATCCAAGACGAGATGAGATTGATACCGCTGGGGATCTCTCGCGCGACGCATCCCTCTGGCACTCTCCAGAGTGAGCTCTGCCTTGGTGCGTTCCCATGTCTCCCAGGATCGGAGAGTGGACCTTAAATCAGGAAGAATCGCCAGCGGCCGGGAAGCAGGGGCGCGGGACCAACTTCCGTAGGGAATTCCGTTGTGAGATCGATGTTCGTCGAGGGCTACTCCACCTTGAACCACTGGCGTTCGGAGAGGAAGATGTGCGAGTCATAGGGCGTCGCGTTCCGCTAAGAATGAGTAAGGAAGAAGGAACGACATTGGCTCACTTTGTTCGGCTCCGAGCGCTTCCAATCGGTGGTAGAAGGTCTGATTCACCCGGCGAACGACTCCAATTGTGTCACTCTCATTGAATGTACAAAGCCGAGTTTATAAATTGGGTACGCTTTGACGAGGCTCGCATTCGATGGTCCCTTGGCGAGCGACACGATGCGTTTCGACACGTTTCACGGTCCGGTGGATATACCGGGATTTGTGATCTATGTGGTGTGGGCCATGGTCACAATATTCAACCTCAGCCTAGTAGTGTTTCTCTGGCCCTACAGAAAACGCACGCTCGTCAAGCTCTTCATGAGCCTTCTTTGCGCGGATTTGATTCAGGCGATGATTTCGATCGTTGAGGCCGTCGGCATCAATGCAATGCGGGAATACAACTGGTGGTGTAGTGTGTCCGTGTCGGTCGAGGAAGCTTCTTGGACAATCGCTGGATACTCATTATTGCTCATCACATTGGAAATATTCTTCCGGAGCACGTGGCGACGTGGCTCGAAGCGGAGGAGCATCCGTGGGAAGGCGGGAATCGTGCTCCTAGTTCTGTGGTTCTTGAGCTTCATCATCAACTCTCTGACGATTCCCTTCTACAGTGAGTGAATTGTTGCACGATGCTACCCTTAGAAGGCTTCCTCGCGAAGAAGTACTGCCCGGAATCGATGCTATGAGCCATGTTCAACGGGAGCATCATGATGACTTGCGGTCTGAATTCGGGATCCTATATTTCCAGAAAACGTCTGCAATGCCCATACGATGGATGAACTGTACTCGATAGTCTACAAGATTTCCCTCGCATCGATGAATCTATTGATACCTCTAGCATGGACGTTCCTCCTCCTCGTGAAGACGTCTCACAACCTCGAGACGAATCTCCATATTCATGACGAGTGGTCAAAAGATCTGACAGTGATTCTGGTAATCAATTTTACCGTGTGCTGGATTGTGAAACAGGTCAGTATTCACGCAGTGTCTCGTACTCAGCCCGACCAAAAAAACAGAGATGGATGGCTGAGTGGCTGAAGCCATTCTACAAGCGCTCCCGAATCCTGTTCTTGTCCTCAGTAGTTCTGAGTTCGCATTCGAGGCCGTCCATCACGGCCGCTCAGCATGTCACTCCTGAAATGAGATCGGTCGTGCGAGTCGTTGAAATCGTTTTCGCGCTCGGATGCGGAGAAAGCGAGAAGAACTCCCAGTGGGGTCAGTGGGGAGTCATTTCACGTGGGGAGTCATCCTGACTCTGGCTTGGTTTATTTTTTGTTTGCTTCTTCCGGAGTGTTAGAATGCTCTGGACAACGAAAAACTATTCCAAGCCATTTACCTTCTCTTTTTCGGAGTCGTAAAATTCATCATTCGCAAGCGAGCTACCTCTCTTCTCGTGTCGGCCTCATATTGAACCAAGTTCCCCCTTCCCGAGGATCTCTTCCTTAAGATCGCGAATTCTCGGGGCTCAGAATGCCGTCGCCGGGAGCAGAGCCCTCGCGGAAATCAGTACCTACCTACTTGTCATGAGGCTGCGTCTCTCCTCCTCGCTAAACGAAACGTTCTAGAGACAGTCACCTATCCATCGAGCCTTAAGGCAGCTACTCAGCCTCTGTGCATTCGTAGCCGATTATCTTATACTATGTGCTTATCCACCTTGATGTTGACTAAATCAATTCAGACGACACGGTCCCTCATTGGACCCGCCTAGCGCCCCGCTGGGACAGCCTTGCTTACCTCCACAGAATCTCGCGTGCAAGTCGGAGGCTACTTTTTCAGCGAGTTTTCGCCTTGAGGTCCCTGACGGGGGTCTTGCTGATGTTTTTCGCGCGGCCTCTCGCCGGGGCTCCCGCTAGCAAAGTTCGATCCCAGCTGCCGGAAAAATTAGCAAGTCCCAAACCGAATCCCCGCCGGGCGCATCTGGGGATCAGTCAACGGAAGCAATCTGTTCCCAGTGATGCCCAAGCCAATCAATTCGGTTATTATAGAGCCCGGGAAAAATCATAATTCCGAGGCTCCGGGATCAGGCGGATCGGAGGAGTCGTCTTCTCTGGGAGCCTATAGCCATGCTTCGAACTGCCGACTCTGATTCCTCGTGAGGAGCTCAGAGTCATCACAATGTCTCGAAGGAAGCTCCGGAGCCTCCATTGGGACTATCTCTCGTAGACCACATTGCAGGCTTCTCGTCGTTCACGGAGCGTTTTCGAATCAAAATAAGTGGGGGATCGTCTCGTGCAGGCGGAAAGTGTAGCTATTGCGTCCTTCAGAGAATAGATCAAGGTCTCCCTGAGGCCCTCGAAAGCAGCGGGACCTCCTGGAATACGTGGCTCGGATGGTTGCTCGAAGGGCGGCTCTGCTTTTGTCGTCGGAAAGTTCCTTAGCTTCAGTAGTTTAGGGCTCGACAAAGACGGTAAAAAGGATCAAGTTGCCAGGACGGATTCTTTCACGTATATGTCGCGGGACTTCCCGGAGGATACGTATCTCGCTTCTCAGGCTCCCTGCCCCAGGGGATATTCACCACGCCGAAGAAGCTCGCGAGTAATGCTCCCGGGGGCTGTTGCGTACGAAATAAGGGCCGCTCGACTCGAGACTCGATCCCGGGTTGACCTTTCTTCGACAGGTTCCCCTTTGCGATGAGTTTGGATCCTCGATACATGTAGTTTACGTTCCAGCTGCCCACGATCGTATTCTGGGACTATCGTCAGGTTTATATCGTAGTTGACAACTTGTCCTACGTCTTGTCCAACATCCGATGTCTTGTGGATGCGATGATGATCATCTTATTCTTCAATGAAATCACGTCGCTCGGGTGAGTCATTGGTCTTCGGGGAAACGCCTTCTGCTCTTTCCTTTCTTCTTCCTCGGTTCGCGTGGAAAAACGTGTATTGAAGTGCTATAATCAAGCGCCCATCACATATGGAATAATGCTACATCATGCTCTAGGACTTGCGAATGCGGCGGAGAACTGACCAAGCAGCTCCCCGGACATCAGCACACTACAAGAACTCGCACGCCTCCCCCCATAGCCGACGTGAACGATTTATAGATTGTGGAAATACATGTATTTTCGAAGTCACCGCTCAACGGAATGGTGGAGACTGCGTCATCGACACGAAGTTGGGGAAACTCCGACCATTCCAAGGCATGGGAGAATCATCATATATTCCATCCATGACGAGTTTGTCTTGCGTGTTTGCAGAATGAAATGTGTGCAGAGTAAACAAGGGTTGCAAAATAAAGTCATATACTCATCCAGCATTTCTTCGGAATGAATTTGGGAAGTTCGAAAAAATGCAGCTTCGTAAAGGAGAGTCATTCTGACGGAAAGAAGTCGAGAAAGGCTGAGGGAGAAGCATTGTAATCAAGTTTTGGAACGATGCTTCTTCCTAGCGCGCTTCAAGAGATTGACCCCTTCTTCTCGCTGTCCGTGCTCAAAACTCGCCTTTCCCTTTTTACTCGGAGCGTCCCGTCATTCCATGGAATGACGACGCGCCGCGCCGTCGTCACCGTGATGTCAATCAACAGGCATTAAGTCAATCAGTTTCATCGCATTCGGCGAAACAGCCGCGGTGAAATCTCAAACACCGTCTAAATATACGGCCGTTGGTTATGTCCTTGGTCAATTTTGAAACGGACACAACCTACTAAAAGTATGATGGCGACGCTTCAAAGATCCAGTTCTCCCGTTGGAGTATGGCCCGTGTTGTCGGGACTATGTTTCTCATGGGCTTTGGCTGTGAAAAGATAAAGTTCGCCGACGGCTCCGCTCATACATCATTCGAGTATCGAGTTGAGACGATGGCCAAGCGCAGCTCGGACGTTTGTCTCTTACTGATCCTGGTCCTCTCGGTCGCAGCGAATGCTTCAGGTATCGGAATCAATTTCCATTTGATGTCAATCGATCAGGGTCCAGCTTGTGAGCGATCGACTCGGAGACACAGAAGATATCCATAGGAAAGCGCTGTGATCGTCTTTTTTCTCTCCGGACAGATTTCGAAGAAAATTACGTGAAGAACCTCGAATCGTTCGCGAGGACCAATCTCACATTCGAATGTGTCCCGTTTATGGAACACAATCAAGTACCAGAATGTGATTGCTCAGCTTGCGCGAGCACGAGACCCAATTTTTTCGAAAAAGTTTGTGAGTTTCGTGCAACGCAGGACCCGCTCCCCATCAGAAGAAGGTCCGAGTCTGATCCGAAAAACGATTGGGACAATGCTTGCAAGGTTCAAGGCTGCACGAGACCGACGGAGTGCTGTGACCCAAGAGTCGGTGTCCTGGTCGAAAACGGTTGTCCTAAATGCATGCCGACCGTCGACGGTAAGCTATTGAATGCTAAGATCTTATCCAATAGTGGTAAACATTCCCAGACATCGTTTTCCACCATTTACCGGAATTTCATCGAGCTCTCCGGTTTCCTAAGCGGGGAAGAACAATTCTTCAAGATAGTCGATCTGTTCTAGCGAGGACGAGGTCTGGAGCGCACGCATCCTGTCAGATCGCCGATCGATATTCCGTCTCATCATCTTCGGACAAGGAATGGAAACAGTTGTACAAGCATTACGATGATGCTATGATTCAAGCGAAAGTTTCCAAGAAGTGTCTCTCGTATGCCGTAGCGCGAACGGCGAATCCATGTGACTGTGTGCCGTGTCTCGAGTCGGAATCATCGATTCGCACCCTCAGGGAGAAGCTGTGCGAGATGGGTCGTGTAGTTCGCACGAACAGTGATCTGAACCGCCGGGATTTTTGGGGACACAACGACTATTTCCTGTGAGTATCTGTGTCCTTGAGTATCAGAATATTGCTCGGTCACGAGCTTTTGGGAGCTTCTAATCAGAGGAATGAAGTCCCGTCATCCAGCCAGTGGGCTCTTTGTTGAAGAGACTGTGTTCGGCGGTGTCTCCCTGGGGACGATCGCTTGATTCTCCGCCGAATTGATTTCTTCGCCGAGCGACGTCGACGATGGAATTTTGGAGGAGCCCTGAGATGAATGGCGTCGGAATGAAAGGGACAAATCCTTTTTAGGAATTTCTGCAACTTCGACAAGTGTCCGGAAATGCCCCGCCGATGCTGTGAAGCCCCGAACGATTCCGAAGCCTCAAGACTCACGTATCCTGTCGACGCGCAGGGGTGTCCCTCATGTCTTCCGACCAGCTCACTTTTCGGGTTCGGACCGGGGTGCAATTCTAAAATAGGGAAGTTCTCCCGAGCAAACCGCGACCGCGTGATGAAGATCCTCGAGAATTTCGCTCACTGAAACACTGAATCATTCGGCTGATAGCAGATAAGCGAATCAAGTGAATAGTCCCGTTCGGGCACGCAATCATCTCCTCAAATGAAAAGCTTCGCAAGCCTAGATCGCATCTAATCTACATCGTTGAATAAACCGGACGCGAGGCAAAGGGGACTGAGGATAAGGATTTTGTTCGAGGAATTCCGGTTGCGGGAGCGGCTCGGGCCGAAGTTTTCCGCGACTCGCGGATGAAAGCAATTTATTCTCGCTGAGTCTCACGTTTTCTCAGACCTGGGTCTAGATTCTAGAGTGGATCGTCAGAGAGAAGATATGGAAAGCCATCGATAGGCATCTGACGATGTCCGAGTGTGTTTCCACCTTCGTTGGATGGGGAGGTACTTTACGCGAGATCGGCCGAGTGATTCTCGTCAATTATTCATCAACCGCCTCACCGACTACGAAGATAATAAGTCCCCCAGCACCTGTGACGTCAAAGTTAATCCGCGTTTGCCGATACGGATGAGTCTGTAGCATCAAAGAGTTCGATGTCACCATTCTTATCGTTTCCCGAGGGGATCGTCTCGATGTTCCTATACTCTGAGAGGATTATTCGAGTCTCCCTCTCGTCTGATCCTTAGTGTATTGCGGAAACGCATCGAGACGGTTGCGCTCGATCGTAAGAGTTGCCGGAACCAGTGGGAACCCTCACTCGCTTTGATCATCGCTAGTTTTGGGGATAATTTTCCAGATAGTTTCACGGCCTCGACCCATTGGAATAATGATTTCTCCCAGGAGATATATTTTTCGACATTTACTCCATACTGATCTTTACTGTCTTCTCTCCTTCACGTGTACAAAGTGTTATAACATTATCCGGACATGAGCATTTACAATAAATAGCGATCAACAACATCCTATGTCGTCCACTATTCAGCGGAATCCAATAAGTGCCTCGGTATAAGTCAATCGTCCGATCGCTCACCCATCATGGCGAGATATTATTCTGGTTCAGGTGTGACTTCATTCAAGTCCCTCTCGACCGTTTCGATCTTGACTCAATAAACATAATATTAAGTTAAATTGGCTTAGTCGAGAGACCAGCTCCGGACTCATGCTTATAATGATGAGGATAACAATGTAATTCGGATAAAGTTACAGTCCGCGTGGAGCTTCCCGTTCCGGACACGTATAGCGAAATTTCAGCGGATCCGATACGTGCCTCGAGGATATCTCCAATATTTATCAAGTAGCTGAGAAGAAGTCCTGGGCCGACGTGCGAAACTCCGGAGTGTTTCAGTCGCCCAAGCCGATGGATGTGGCACTCGAAGATTTCACAGGCGGCATCTCGCGGCCGATCAAACTCCCTCTCGAGATGAGAATATAAGTCACGGGGACTCGGTGACGAGGTCGAGGATGAGATGATTGTTCTGAGCGATAGTGAGAGAAGCAACCTCTAATAATGAATCGGGAAAGATAAGGAACTGGGGTAATGCCTCTTCGAGTGGAAGAACAAAATTGAACAAGCATTGGGAATTTTTCAAATTCAGACAGCTTTTCGACGATAGTTTGGTTCTCCTGATTCTTGCCATCGATTCGAGTGGGGAATCGATTGGAAAGAGAAGGCGACGCGCTTCGAATAATCGATTTTGTTCCGTGATTGGAGACGGGAGAGGCGAAGGTCGGGGAGCAGCTGGGCCAGAAATGACGGTTCGGGGTCAAGAGAAGAACGCGGATCCGGTGACACCAAGAAGAACGGAATAAAGAGACGGCGGTCGTCAAAATCGCCGCTCTTCCAATAAATTAGCTCTGAAGGAGACTAGACGACACCAGAAATCACCGAAGAGTGCAGTAGATATCCACATTGAAGAGGCGGTGGCAGTCTTCATGGATGCAGAGGAATACGGATGGGGCGTGTTATGTCGATTGTCTACAACGAGAGTGATTGGAGATTTGATCTATGGCATTTGATTTGCTGCGATGCGCTGTCTGCAAAAACAATCTACTATTTCGATTGATCCTTCCATTCACGAATCCATCAAATTTTTGTGCAGCTGGGAGCAGCTCGCTATGTTCGGAGCTGATTGACGCGTATCAGAACGCTGGCTTGACATGTTTCAATGACGTGGATGCGGTTGAACTCTCGGTGCTGAGGATTTGTTCTTATCCGAAAGATCGATGTCGACCTGAGCAACGACCTGGTACTCGGAGGGTTTTAGCTTTCCGCGCGGAACTTGATGCGAGAAACTTTGGTAATTCGTCGATGGAGCCGCCCATGAGCCGTGTGCTCCTCCATGAGCTCCTCCGTGACCTCGTCCGTGACTACCTCCGTATCCCCCTCCATGGACAACGCCCCCAAAGCCTCCTCCATAGTTTCCTCCATGGTTTCCTCCATGGTTTCCTCCGTGTCCGTGGACATGAGCCAAGGAAGCGCCCGCAACAGCGTAGGCGTCGTCGCCTATTCCGTTGCCTCCTTGATTTCCGAAACTTCCGTACGCAACGTGATTGCTGCTACCGTGATTGGAATTACCACGATTGCCATCGCTGAAATGCATGGCAAAAGCAGCAGCTGCGGCCGCCGCAGCCGCTGAGCCGTGCAAAGAGTCGAGTGAGGCTCCAGACATTTGAGCGATCACAGCCGGGTTATGAGCGGAGGCCGAAGATTTCCATCCGTTGTCCCAACCTCCAACTTGTTGCTGGTAAGCGCCACCGCCGTGTTTGTGATGATGGTGTTTCTCCTCAATGCTGCAAGAAGGGGTCAATTCGTTGGCGGAACGAAAATTCGAGATTCCAGAATAGATATCGAGAGGATGGGCCTCGCTCGAGAGACTCGGACAGTCGAATGATTGATACTCACTACACTGGTACTGGTTTCTTGATGTAGACGGGGACCTCCTTGATTATTTTGACGACTTTATGCACCGGCTTCGGGATAGGTACTGGCACGTGCTTATAGACGGGGATCACCACCGGTTTGGGAACGGGAACGTGAACCGGGAACGGTACCTCTTTCTTGTGATACACTGGTTTCGGGACAGGCACGATCACTGGCTTGGGGATCTTCAAAGAGAATATTCAGAGATGATTCCTCTATTTTTCCGTCAACTCCACGGTAGACTCGGAGGAGAATAAATAATTATAAGCTCGAGCGCTCCTGCCCGGTATCCGCTTTGAGATCGATATCCCGGATAACGGTGACCGACGAACCAACAGAGGCGGTTTAGGAGGGGATGGGTTTTCTAGATCGGGCGACACGCAAGCATATCGAATCAAGAACACTGCTGAACTAGGTAATTCAATTGCAGACCTTTATCGGTATGGGCATCGGGACCGGTTTCGGGATCGGTATCTGGGTGTGATGGTTGTAGAATTTGAACATCGGTATCGGAATTGGAATATTGTGATTCTGATAGACGGTGTAGTGCTTGGGGACCGGTTTTGCGTACGCCCAGGGCTTGAAGACCTGTAAGGAGACTCGGATATTCATTCATCTATTATTTTAAAAGAATCCATTCATCGATGCGTTTGATCAGTGGCAAAAAAGGCAACAGCTGATTCGCGAAACGAGACAGGTAGCGTCGTCGTAGAGGCATTCCGCCTCTGTCGTTGGTTGCGCGTGGAATCCGGAGCTAATCTCAATCGGAACGTCTACTTGGTAATCCTATTTAGTTTCATTCGACACATTCGAACAAATGACGTTCTGAAGCTCGCGGCTCGAGGGAAACGCGAGCGGACTAATCAAGTAATATACAACGTAGCAGATGCTGTTTCCGCGGAACACTCACCGGGATGTATTTAGGAACCGGGACGTAGTGCGGCACTGCGACGTGCTTGGCAACGGGAACTGGTTTGTGAACGTGTTTCACCACGTACTTAACTGGGACATGTTCGTTCCAGCCATGGCCACCTGCGGAGGTCTGGCGTGCCGCAAACAGGACGCTCAGAAACCACACCGCCTCTGGGAATGATGAAAGTACAGATTATTAGATCGAGCCTCGATGCCTCCGTACAAACGTTATAATCTGACCGAGCGTCGTCGGCGAATTATAGCAGCACACTTCAAACGGCCATTAAGTATGATAGCCCGAGCAATTACTGTCAGGAGAATCCCGAAAGGGAAAAAAGATTTATAATTGGAAGGCTATGTGTGGGGTGGATATAACCCCAGCCATTATTCCGAGTGACGTCTCAATCGAAGACAACGATTACTCTCGACAGGAACGAGCTTCAATGCTCGTTGTCTGCACATGGGTCGGCAGTGCCTCGACATCGTACACGACGTCGTCGTCCTCGTTACGCTGTGCGAAGAAATCGCTTGATGATTTCGTTGTATGAAGGGTTACATTACTTTCGCCGTTTTGCAGCGTGGGTTGGCACCACCGCCGAAGACGACAAATGGACGCTCTTCGGGAACCTGACACGAATTCAGTGTGTCCCGCGGGCGGCTGACCGCCAGAATAGTTTTTCGGAAGGACCGGCGATCATCGGACACGGGGATAGACAGAAACGTGGACGGAACCGAGACCAACCGTCAGTCCGTCAGTCCGACCGAGCGGCGGATCGAGCCCAACACCCAGCCTGCGAGCTAGCAGCAGACATTCGACAGTGAGCAAGTCACTGTCGTCCATCCGGGTACGTCGGGTACGCCGAATTGAGTCACGCGGTCGCGGGTCGGCGCTCCTTGCTTTGTCGGTCGGTCCTTCGCTCGCTCGGTCTGCCTGTTCTTGTGACCGTCTGTCTGCCGTACGTCCGTGCGTCCGCTCATCTGTCTTCTTATCCTTCTTCCATCGGTATGTCAATGGGTCTACTCGCTTGACTGAGTGAGTTTTCGGCGGCTGCGACAGAGTTGATACTCGGCACGGCGAAACTTAGCGCGCAAGAGTTGTTCCGTACTGTTTGCTGTTCCATTTGTTTACGCGCCCGCTCAAATCGCTCATTCGGTTCGCCAATCGAATTCCCAAGCCGTCGCCGAAATCTCGGAAAAAGCACTGTGCGTCGTGTCGCGGGCGCTTGCCCGCCAGACTGGTTCAAAAGCGCGGAAATGAACCTGCCGGCAAACAGAAAAAAGGCAAAATACCCGCCTCGTCGATGGAATTGCTCGTACTAAGCGTCGCTCGCGCCTGAATGTTGTTTGCTCGGTCGCGAACGCTCGCGGTTCAAGTGGGTCACTCCGCCGGAACCGAAGCAGCGATTCACGGAGGGTCCGTTCGAGCCCCGAGGCAGCGGTCGCCCTCGTCGTCGTCGTCGCTGTAGTAGTTGTAGCCGTTCCTGCTTCTGGTGATGCCGACGTCGAAGCCGGTACTTACTCGTTTGGTGGAGCGAGCGCGCGCGACTGGCTTTGTCACCGAAGATCGTTGGTCGATGGCCGCCCGAGAGGCACTTGGCATCGCCGACCAGGCCGCCACTTCAAGGATGGTTCCCACCCCCCGAATGAATCGACATGTATCGAATCAGATCGAATGGTCTGGCGCGCGATCAGGAAGTTAGAGAAACGTGCTGAAAAGAGTGAAAGACGAGCCCCCTAAAAAACCACCCCGCCGGCCACGCCACAGCCGGTGAATCACATTGAAATCGGGGAGGAGGCCGAGGAGCGCTGAAGGGAAGTAGCTCTTGAAAGATCCTGGGACTTCGCTGTGAACTGTGAGAAAACTCAGAAAATTTTTCAGTGGAATAAATCGGGACTTAGGCCTTCAGGGTGTCACCCCCTCCCCCTGCCCCCGCTCCCTAGGGGTAGCCGCCCTCGCGGGGGCTTCTGGAGGGGAAGAAGGGCTTCTTTGGTCGGAAGTTCCTTCGGGGCAAGATATCACATTCATGCCAATCAACGGGCACCCACCATTGTCTTTCCCATTTACATACTCGGTAGAAACAGGCGAAATTAAAAAATGAGCCGGCACATTCTGATGGACGGGCATCCTCCGAATTAATCGGAAAAGAAATGGTCGATCCCGTCAATATAAGAAATGCGCTATATGATCAATGATCTCCCGGGCCCCGGCGAGGACGTGCGTTCGGGAAAAAAATATTCTGATATCGAGAATGCACTTCCCCGGGTAGCGTGTTCCTTTCGCTTCTCATCACCTTCTGACGCTCTGTCTGTGTCCGTACGCCACCCGACAAGACAAAGCGCCCGCCCGCTCGGCCTGCCACCCGTCATTCTGAGTTCGGCCCCATAGCGTAGCGCAGCTAGGGACGTTGTCGCTGAATGAGGGGTCAGGACTTTTTGTTTCTTCTATGGGCGAGCAACGGGCGAGGCAATGCTGGGCATGGCTGGAAACAAGCAGAAGAACGGCGGGGCGCTCGCGCGCGCCTGCGGTTTGTTGACTGTCGAAGCGGAAGTCGAAGTGGCTTCTTCACCGGCGAGTATCGGGTCTCCCACAATCACAAGTGAGGCTTCTTCCGGCTGACTGCGCGCGGTCGAGACGCTAAACGAATTAAAAAATAAGCGGCTCTTCGGCACGGCCGCAAGAGCGGCATTTTCCCCGGGGAGTGGTCGGCCGGCTAGACGATCATCATTAGCATCGGAATCATGATATTGGGGCAGCTTAGCAGGCTGCGAAGCCATCGGAGGGTTTTTATCTTATGCTTGCGCGTTTTATTCCCACGACCAATAGACGAAATCGATAAGTCAGTCGAGGATGGCGTCGGGGGCGCCCCGCAGCTCCCGACTGCACGTCCAGCGACGCTCTCTTTGCGAGATCATTTTGAATATTTTTTTTTCTCGGGTAAAAGGCGGATGCCATCTCTCTTCTTCCCTTCTCTCTGTGGATCGGAGGCTTTTCGCCATGAGCCCCTCCGAACTCCACCAAGATTATCTACGGGAAAAGCTCGCATGACCACGTTCCCAAGTTCCGGTAAACATGAGCCTGAAGATGCGTGTTCGTGTCTGCAACACGCGTGCCTCGGCTCGCTCCAGCGACTGAGTGAGTGTGAATTTGAAATTGCGTGTGAGATCATGCCTTCATTCGGCGAATCATTACTTGGGCTGTCGGAGAGAGGGGCGGCGCGTTTCTATTCGCTCGCTCCTGCTCGGCGACATCCTCGTTTCGAAGCAGAAAATGAAAGTGTCGTGTTGGAAATAGTTCACCCACCGCCGGCTGCATTGACTGAAATGGAGCACCAGAGAAGCGAAAGCAGTGTCTATGCGGCTCAAACAGAAAAACGCGCATCGACTGACAGAAAAACGGTGCGTCATCTTCCGCGATCGAGCATCAATGATTGGGATCCGAAACGTGCCCGGGGGAGAGGTCTCGTCCTCGGCAGAAGTTACGTTTTTTCCCGCGAGAAGAGAGAGAGGCCTCTGTGACTTCTATCGGAACCGTCGATCACCCGGAACCATACTCCTCATTCTAGAGCTCAGGACCTCGAGCTTGAGCCCCAGCGTTGACGAGAGACGACGGGTTTGTTTTTATCGGCGCAATACGGGTTAAACGATGTCGCTGCGAAACTAGGCTGCTATCTTGGGTTCTTTCAGATTACTGACGTCTTAAAAGCTTTCTCCGTCCCTTATCGCTGCTTCCGACCATCCAGCGAGATTGCGCACATCGATTCACTGGGAAAGATGGAATTCTCTCACCAGCGATTGACAGGAAAATGGCCCTATAGGACCTCTCTGATTCTCACGAAAATTGAGGAGGGAAGCTATATCCTGGGGGAATTTCCAGGAGTGCCTCGGGGCAGTTTTCGCTGAATTCTTCAATACGGACGCTGACCGTGCAGCAAATGGAGGAGGCAGTCCCCTTCCTTCGTCAGGGGCAACTCCTATCGTCTTCCTCGGGAACCTTGCAGTCGGGGCTCCGGTGAGACATGGATTCCGAGTGAAAACGACCCCTTCGATGTCGTAACTACAATCGATCGTGTTGCAATAGACGGAGAGTCCATCGAACGCCAAGAAGTCCATTCGAGAGCCGTTCTCGTACGGCACCGGTGATGGACGGAGCCGGGCCGACCCTCACAAGAGCCCAATTCAAAGACTCCTAATCGAAAAGGCGTAGTTTCCGAATCTTCTGATCAGATGAACAGCTCAGTCAGGGAATGCCGAATCGTTTAGCCCAATTTTGCCATTGAGCCAAATCTCTCGATGCTCGCTCTCCGGATCTCCAGCTCCGGAGAATATATCATGGGTCGTTCGAGCGACTCAGAAGAGTGCCGTGATCGGCCCTTGTCTCGTGAAGATCCGGCTCGGTGGAATGAAAGCGTAATAATCCGCAGCATTCAAATTCAGAGTCGTATGGTTGGTCCGTGAATGATCAGCTTGGATCGCATGCATGGGCCAAGAGTCCGCTATCCATAGTGGAATTTATTCGGCTGCCCCCTCCCCGCTTCCCTGACGATAGACGTGAAGAGATCTTTGAATGTCAGCAGTTTCTGCAGTTTCGTAACAATACTACCGAGACAATGAGCGATCGAGGAACTTCCGTTCTCGCGGGTGTTCGGCTGGGAGCGACTTTTCCCGTTTTCCAGTCGACAACGAGTGCCGTCTAACTCAACCGCTAGTTTGATCTTAACGTGTCGAACAAGCCATGGTTAAGAGCGCGACGAGAGGAGACGCTAGTATTAAGGGGCTCCGATGAGGAAAACGAAGGGTGAATACAGAGAAGAGAGGAAGGAACAAAAATCGACGAGGAATAACGACAAGAGCTCTTACTTGGGTCAACAGCCCCTGACGCTGCCCCCGCTCCATTCGTTGCGAGACACAGGATGAGGCTCGCTTTGTGTGAAGTACACCCGCTATGATTCACTGAACGCAACACAATTTTCTCATCAGTCCCATCGACTCGACTGACCGTGAGTCTGTCAGTCCGTCCGTCAGTCAGTCCGTCTGTTGTAAAAGAAAGACAACGCCTGGATGACTGTGAGTGTCATGCAAACACGCGGCGGGCCCGGCTTCGGCGACACGAGTGAAGTCCCGCCGTCGCCGTGAAAGACATTCGAGCATGGTGCAGACTTCGCATATGATAG